CAAATTATAATTATCTAACTTAAACGCCACGTTCACTGTTCTGAAGGTAGCCTCAGTAAATATGTTAAACAACAAATGCAAACGGACATGGTCCCATCGCTGAAAGCATGTACATGTGTGTGTGTGCACAAACGAATTGAAACACATTGTTTAGCATTATAAGTCACCATTCCCCCTTTTCTGTTTGTTTTTTCAGAAGCACAATAAAAAGATGGTCCTCAAAGTGGTCCAGCTCACCTCTAAGTCCCACCATGAGAACATCCTGGCCTCCCTACATCAGCTGAGGCTGCAGGGACAGCTGAGTGACATCACTGTGCAGGTAGACTACCAGGGAGAAGTGCAGGAGTTCCAGGCCCATCAGGTGATGCTGGCAGCATCCAGCGGCTACTTCAGGGACATCCTCCTCTCTCAGGATGCTACCAGAGACAAAGTATTACTCTCCAATATGCACTCCAATGATTTCTCAAAGTTTTTGGAATTTGTGTACACTGGTAAAGTTGAAGTTGTCAGAGATAAGATTGGTGATGTTCAAGCAACGGCACAGTTTTTGGACTGTGAAGATTTGTCACAGATATGTGGTGAGGCCATGAGTGCTGGAATCCTACAAAAACCTACAAAGAAAACTGAATCAGAGGATGTTGGTAAAGGTGATTTACATGACGCTAAGAATGAAAAAGGGACCAAGGGGAAGAAGCAGCCTAAACGCGTACTTGTCAAGCGGCGGCTCTCTCCTCAGAGCCCTGACAAAGTAGTACTTTCAAAAAGATTAAAGGCAAAGAATGCAGTGAAGAGTGATCAGAGACACATAAAAAAACTAAAACTGAGGCTGACTGGTCGTAAAATCCTTCCGAGGCATTTAAATACCAAAAAAGTGGCTAGCATCAACAATGAAAACCAAGTTAAAGATGAAGACACAGTGGAGAATGAAGACAGGACTGAAGCTGAGGCTCAGGCAGAGGATGGGGACAAATCATCTTTGGGAATGCCAGCTTCTGATGTAGATGATTGGGAATGTGAGGGATATGTACAGAGTGAGGAGTCCTTGTTATCTCTGGGAGAAGAGGAGGAGGATGATGAAGAGGATGATGATGAGGAAGGACAATCGAAGGAGACATCCAAAAGAACTTCCAAGGCCCAGTTCCAGTGTAACAAGTGCCAGCGGACGTTCCATTATGAGAGAAGCTACTTAAAGCACATCAGGTAGGAAAAATTAGCTAGGTATAGTAAATTGATTTATTCCATAGATACCCCAAAGCTTCTGAAAATAATCTTCTATATCGAATTTGGCCAGGCTTCCAGTATGACATTTTAATTCCAGAGCACACAGCTGTTTGCAAGCTAACAAGCTCATTTACACATTTGTGTGTGTTTCTTGTTGATATTATAGCATTATTTGATTGTTTTAGTATGCAATAAGATACAAAATACTGAAATCTGTCCTTACACAAATTACGAAAATGGTAGATAATATTGCATGAAGGAAGTTATTATAACAATTATGTTGTTTTCCTGCTCCCCTGTTGGAGACAGCGCTGTGCAATCACAACCCTACAATCTTTTCTTTTCTTTTTTTGAGTTGTAGTACTTAAAAGATTTAGGTCAATTGAGAATGATGCAAAAGCACTTTCCATAGTAAGGCTTATTTGAAACTTTCAGGTTTCTTGTTGTTAGTTTTTATCTTCATGGTTTATTGCGCTTCTTTTACGTTGCGTTGGATAAAAGCATCAGCTAAATGAAATGTTACGTAATGTAATGAATTGATCTTATAAGACAAATTGTCCTCTAAAGTTTAAAGCTGTCAGATGATCATCAATGCCATTTGATGATATATTTCGGTTATTGCTCTCCAGTACGTATCATGGAGTAAAAGCAGATGTCATCTATCGCTGTGAGACCTGCCAGCAAACCTTTGCTAACCGTAGCAATCTGAAGATCCACGAAAAGCACGTCCACAGTAACGAGAGGCTGTTCACCTGCGACTCCTGCGGGAAGACCTTCAAAAGGAAGAAAGATGTTGTCCGCCATACAAAACAGGTGATGATTTATAGTAACTACATACAAGAACGAGAGTCCAATATAACGTCCCCTGATTTGATCATATTTGTCTTTCCTTCCCTCTGCTTTTCAGGTACATGAACGTAACAATATGAGACATGTCTGCACTGACTGTGGGAAGGCTCTCAGCTCCAAAACGGCCCTGTTGTTGCATGAGAGGACACACACAGGGGCCAAGCCTTTTGAGTGCAGCGACTGCGGGGCCAGATTTACCCAGAACTCTGCACTCAAGATGCACCGCAGGTACGGAGCTGGCTAAAGATGCTAAAAGGCGGCATATTGTTACTAAAAGTTGATGAGAGCTAAATGTTCTTGTTTTCTTACATGTAGGACTCACACAGGAGAAAAGCCATTTGCATGTGATGAGTGTGAGTCCAGGTTCACTCAGAAACACATGTTGGCCTATCATAAGCGATCACACACGGGTAAGAAACTATTGAGACCATCATCTTTAACCCTGCCTCTGTTAAAAGACAAGGCTATCTTCAGGTATCAGATCATAACTGAATAGATTGTTATTTTCTCTTGTTAGGAGAGAAGCCCTTCATGTGTGAGGCCTGCGGGAAGAGCTTTGCATCTAAAGAATACCTGAGGCACCACTCAAACATCCACACTGGGTCCAAGCCATACAAGTGCGAGCTGTGTGGCCGAGGCTTCGCTCAGAGGAATTCCCTACACCAGCATCTGAAGATACATACAGGTAATTGGATAAATCGCTGACCTCGATTTTTCTTGTTAATTCGTAGGCATAACACAGAAACCAGTTTGACTGTTGTCTACTGATTACAAACTTTATATATTCTCTGGCATCTCTGTTTATTCCTAGGTGAGCGTCCCTACAGCTGTAAAGACTGTGACAAGCACTTCACCCAGCTCAATGCCCTCCAGAGGCACCAGCGTATCCACACAGGAGAGAAGCCATACATGTGTGGTCTCTGTCGGCGCACCTTTACAGACAAGTCCACCCTCCGTAGGCACACTATGGTGAGCACCGTTTATCTTACTGTAGCAACAATTATCCCATAGGGTAATTTTGTACTGTATAGGCACAGGAATAAGTCCTAAAACCTGGAAATTAGTAACCACCATAAACTTTTGCCAAGATTTAGTTTTCTGCCACATTCCGAAATCCTGAAAAAATCCCATTGCTTTTTGTCTAGGGAGCCCTTGTAAATCTTTCATGTCCAGTGTTGATCTAACTTGTACTGTGGCAGAATGAATTTACCCTTGATCAAAAGGGGGGATATTGGTAAAGAAATACTTAACCATTTGTATTTGAATCACTCACCCTGTGCTTCCTTGAAATTTAAAAGGGTCCACGCATGCCTCCACGGTAAACGATGTGAAAATAACATAAGCTTGTCAAACTTCCAGATTCATGACTCCACCGCTCCGTGGAAAACCTACCTTGTGGTTCTGGAGGGAAATGTGGAGGATAAGAAACCAAAATCTCCTACTAAGGGAAAGACTGAAAAAGCAGGAGCAAAGGAGAAAAGGAGTACCGCTAAAAAAAATAATGTCGCTGCTTCTGCTTCTGAGAACACTCACACGGACTCCTTTGAGATGTCTTCTGAGCCTGTGACCCTCCCACCTGAGTGGACTGGCCATGGGTCCATCGCTCTGGTCAGCCATGGGGCTCTCGGCGAGATCACCGTCATCCACACAGAGATGCCCCCTGGGACCCAGATCCAGCCCATCGTAACCACTGACAGCACGGGGGCCAGCATCATTTCCATCGATGGATCAGGCATGCCTTTCTCCATACCAGTGTCCATTGCTCACAGTCTGCCCATGTACTCTGAAGCCTCCATGTCTCTGTCTACATCCACTGGTGTTTCTCCTGTTTCTGATGGCCCGTTCACGTCAGAGATCCAAACCATTTCTACATCATCTGTCCTGGAAGCCGCAGTCTCACAGACCATTTTAGCTCCAGTTTTAGAGACGAAGGCCACGTCCCAGGCGGATATTTCGCAGCCTGATCTCCTGACCGTGGTAATCGGTAATGGTGTTTGCCCAAATGAACTGACAGCTGCTGTCCAAGGTGATGGAACGCAGAGGACAGCAGACTTAGACGATCCCTTAGCTCAAGATACTGTGTAGGAAATGCTTTTTAATGGTATTTCACGTTTGGAATTAGCTGTGTGAGTGTGTGTTCTGACCATGTGGCGTTTCATCATTACTGTCATGTCAAAGTCCTTTGTTTCATTAACAGACCGGGGTGTCTTCAGTGTTACTCGCACTCTTAAAATGTGAGGGTATTTATCAAGAAAAAATAAAAATCATGTTTGAGGAATAAAATCTAAATATAACTAAGATATTAGTGTAATCATAAAATAATATTGTACATATTTAATCAATTATAGAGTTAAACGTGGCATAAATCATACGGCTGAGGATTTGTTATGGTGTGAATGTAAATGAATTGTGTGAATCCTTCAAAACTCTGTCACTTTTCTTTCTTTAGAACTATGTACACATTACCACAGCTGTGTTTCAAACAGCATGAGATCCTTTATCCGGCTACACCCAATGATGAAAGTTGTACTTTTTTCTTAAAATAAAGAAATACCTCTGAAGTTTGTAATTTTCCTTCCGGCTGTTTAATTTTAAGTGACTCCTATTCAAATGCATGGCAAGAAAATGTAATTAATTGTATTTTTTGTAAGGAAATGCACACTAACCATTATACAGAAATCAAATCACGGTTATGTAAGGACATGGCGCAGTCAGGTCAGAACTGGACTAACATAAAGATTAATAGTTCAGTTCCAAGATTTTTTGTACTGCTGGAAAAATTCAGTTACTGGAATATTCCTTGAACTGGCCAAGTGTTCATAAAATGTTATAAGCCTTACGACAAAAATAGAATTGTTGAAAAAATATAAAGCTTAGAAGTCAATTACATTGCTGGTTAAAAAGTAAGGTCAAAGGCAGGAGAACACAGCTGGGATTATAAGATATTTATTATTGTCCATTCGTACTAGCATACAGATCATATCCAAGTTCCATTGTCATTCCGTGTGGAAGAAGCTGGATGCGGAGGGCGACTCGACCCTTTAGTAAAAACTTTGGTCTGGCTCACACTAGAGAATGTAACACGAGGCTAATCTATACACAATGACATGCTTTAGCGACTGGCCGTTTGGAAGGGGCACTGCAGTAGTAAACCCTCGAGGATAATTTCACATCACAACACAGCATGAGATGAGTAATGACGCACACAACCCCTAAGATTACTGCCCCTGGAAATAAGGAGGAAAGGTTTCCACGTCAGTGCTATTCATTCTTCCACAGGCAAACTATAAACCACAGCTTACAGATACAAACATTCAAAGTACATGAAGAAATCGAAAGTAATATTAAAAGAAGCAGAAGTAGTTTCAGTGTGAATGTGTGTTAGGGAAAGAATCAGTGATTAGATCAAAATGTTTAACAGTCTACCCTTGGTGCACATCATGGCTCTTCCTCGAGAAGAGTCGCTCCATGTAGTAATACATTGGAAAACAAAATCACTTTCTCTGTGGCTGGAATTCCTAACACCACATTGACCTACTCCAACAAATAAAAAATAAATATAATAGTACATTCTTGATAATCTTATGAATAACAAACTGAACATTTGAATAATCGTTTTAAATATAACATAAACTACATTTAAAAAAACAAAAAAAAACAGCTACTTCTGACTAGGAAACAATAATTGTACAAAACATGCAGTGCTTTTGTCAATACTAACATCAGTTTCAATACAAAGTACCACTCACCCCCCCCAAGGACAGATTCCAGCAGAAAAAAGGTATGCAGCAATCCTCTAGACAGAGGTGAGGGTGGGGGATTTACAGTCTGACTAGATTCAGATACGCTCGTAAGGAAAGCAAAGATAGTACTCTGACGGTGTAGCAGTGAGCAGTGGAATATTCAAAGTCGTCTTCAGATTCTATACGCAGTGAGGTGAGTGAAAGTGTGTGTGTATTGTGTGTGTGTGTGTAAGCATGCGTGATGGATTTGTCCCTCTGTGCTGCATTTTTACACCCCAGATTCTTTCTTCATTTTAAATCCCCTTCATCGCCCTGGATGGTCTTTTTGATGCGCAGTAGGAGGGTTGTGTGCCACTGGTCCAGACGTGAGATCGAGTCAAAATCTTTTATCTGCAGGAGGGGGGGGGGGGGGGGAACACAGGAATAAGATTATTTCCCCAATGAGGATTACAATGGAAAATTCTGCTTACTTAGTTTACCCTCACTAAGGACATTTTCGGCTGTATTAAGGTATTTTGACAGGGGTGTGAGTTTTTTTCTCCAAATGTTGTAAGTCCTATAATAACAAATAATAAATGAAATTCAAAGAAGTACATTAATTTATATACAGTTTATATATTTTATGGCAGTTTTTTACTCTACTATTTTAGGATTTAGTGAGACACAAGGGTTCATTTGTAATGCTTTACTGGTTCAAATTCAAATTTCTCCCAACATCTGCCATGTAAGACTGCTTTATGTAATATATTTTCACTTTCTAAAATGAAGTTTTAAAACTTGTTTTCAGTTATATATGGACGCCCTCCACCAGTCTGTAGGACGTCCATATCAACAGACTGAGTGGATACCTGAGATAAAGCTTTCAACTTTCTTGAACACACAGGGGACCCAGGACAACTACAGCAGCTGAACAAAGGGATTTCCTGGGCTCTCCAAAAGTTTCAAAACTTTGTTAGGTTATACAAGACTTACTGCCTCTGTGAAAGCTTCACTGTTCTGTTCCTCATGAGCCTCAAGAAGTTTCTGTTAAAACAAAGAAATGTAGGTTACTCATAGAAACTGAAGAGACTAAGAAGGAAAAGTAAGCGAACAGAATCCTCAGGGTTTTTAGTATCGAGTTACCTTCAGCAGTTTGCATTCTCGAGAGTCTGAGAAAGCGGGAAACATCTCCTCGTATTTTTCAATAGCAATCTGTGGAGACACAGTGTGTTAAAGCAACTGACAGTCCAAAATCCTGAGACTGACCCGCATGCAGCGGTATAAACTAACCTTAGCGTTGAGCTCATCGACGATGAAATGACAGAGGGAAGCTTTGAAGAAATACTCTTTGGCGCTGTATTTCAGCAGTGTGTTATCCATCGTGTTAGCTCCAACCTAAATACATCCAAAACAGTTTTAGAAATGTCAACATTACCAAATCAGTTTGGGCTGAGGAAGTGTGACAAGTACAAGAAGTGCTCACCTGCTCGTAGATCTCAATAGCCCTCTGGTACTGCTCTATCTGGGCGCAGTAAGCCCCCACCTTCAGCAGACACTTGTTGGCAGAGCTATGGAAAATTGCAAACGGTACACAAAACATTTAATACAATACGGAATATGAGAGCTATACATCTGGAGTATGAATCAATTGATCCATTTATGTGAGTAGTTTGCAGTTCAAAAGCATGGTACATTAGAATGGAAAATTGTGATGGTTAACAATAGAAGATGACACAGGTGCAACGGATAACAATAACTTTGATTATCCACTGTAAATGTCAAAGAGCCATCGTTAACTTTATTATGAACAGATACGTTTAGAAAGCACGGTAATCCTTTATAAGCTCAGTGGGATGTTTTGTAGCATTCAGTATTCTGATCTGAAATCCATACATAACCTGGTAAATGTTGCTTGTTTATCATTGCAGCAAACTAATGTAATTCTGCAGTAAGGCCCTTTTTCAGTGCTGCTGCTGTATTTTATCATGCCATAGCAGAGTGAACACAGGTGTAAATAATAATGATATGCTTGTTAAGGTACTAAGAGACATTTGTGCCTTCCCTGCAATGAAAATGCTCAGAGAGAGATATAGAGATAGACATACAGTATAAGCTATCCAGCAGAAGGTTTGTTAAACTAATTTACTAAAATAATCTAAAGTGAAATTGTTATTGTTTTAAACATTCTAATCCTAATGAGTTTTATCCTAATATCATGTTGTTGAAAATAAGAGTGCTACACTAAGTGTGCTACTATTATGGTAATGATCAGTTTAAGAGATTGCAGAGCTGGAAAAAGACACAACATGCAGTATTTTACATTACCTGTTGGATTCTTCCCCTTTGTAGTAGTCTGCTGCTTGTTCATAATGTGCAATAGCCTTTAAATTAAATAAAAACATGTTACACAAATACTGTTGTGTGTTCCTCAAACAAATATGGTGGTAGAATCCCTACTGTATAACATCTCATTGTGTGATTCTTACCTTTTCGATATCCACCAGTTCAGACTCGTAGATCTCTGCGATATTGATGTGGTGTTTGGCTGCGATGGTGAATCTTCCCTGGAGGAGAAGAAGATAAATCATTACTAACTGGATCTATCCAGAGTCATTGCATTACATTCTCAGTGCAGAGAGGCAAGGTCAAGCAGTAGCTTCATACCTACAAGGTTTAAGCTTTTGAAATAAATCCTTGCCAAAGGGAATGCTAAGTAGGCAATTTGGTCCAGGTAGCAAGCTAAATGATGTGATGTTAGATCTACAGTAATACTGGGAATCCAAGAAGAGTAGAAGTGATCATTTAACATTTCTCAGCTATAAAATAAGTACAATGACACAGCCAGTTTCTGGATCAGAACATAGATGGACACTTTCTATATGAATCTTACCCTATGACCTTACCATGTCTGTGTATATTTCGATGGCAGCATTTAAACACTTGATTGCCTCTTTTAGCAGCATAAAGGCAAGAGGAGGGAACAATTAGACATCATGTTAGTTTTGTTCAAAGCTCACATTGTGCACAGCACCTGTTATGCTGTGCTAGGATCAAATGAATATGAGGTGAAATACAAAACAAAACCGCAAGCAAGACCCTACCTTTTTTATACAAAACAAATGCATCAGCAACCTACTATTCCCTAGACCTACAGTATGGCTTCATCTATATTTGGAAGATGATTGATTGAGGCCAGAGAGTACAAAGAGCCCTATAACTCAACTAATTGGAAACTCCATAACAAGGGTAATAACTCACATATTATAATTTATTCAAACAGCAAATCAAAAAAAGGCAGATTGTAAAAAAGTGAAATCGGACTCGTTATAAAATATAGGCTCATAGCTTGAAACTAAAGTAAATCATTAATTACTTTAACAGTGCAAATATTGATGTCTACAATTTCAGGCACTAAAATGCAAGTTGTGATTTGGACCTAATGAGTTACCACATGTTCTCACCATTGGGGTCAGACTTCTTGAAAGCATTTCCTGCATCAATGAAGCTGGTGGCACAGTCGTGTTTGTTCTGCAGTTGCATGTGGAGACGTGCGGCTTTGCAAAATGCATTTCCAGCAGCTGAAGACAAAAGAAAAGAGGACAGAGACTTTCACATACACACATACTTTCTAGTTTGCATTGAGCCCACACTTTAATTTATGCACATAATTCCACTGTTCTTTCATTTTTCACTCGTGGCACCTTTACAAGTGCTGTTCTTGCAGTTATAGTGCCAAAAGATCAGCACATGATCCTACAGCTTCTGAAGTTTTTTTTTTAATTGATATGGTGGATTTTTCTTTAGTAAAAAAACAGCTCATCGCACCACTCCAGTTCTTGGCCATCTTGAACATGTTTGCTGCTCTGCAGTACATCTCGCATGCTTCTTCCACCTTCTGAGGTCCTCTAAACAAGAAAGTAAAACAAAAGAAAACAGATGTACACAGTTTAATATAGTTCACAAATGCATACAGTCTCCATGGCATACTCTGGCTAAAACAAATACCCAGTCTGACTTTCATATTAAAGTTATATCGAATAAACTTTCTTAATGGCATCATAGGGTGATGAACTGTAGAATGTGGTGCATTTCTCAGGGTGTTGCCATGCTAAGGCTGGTGTACTGACTTATATAAATCCTCCACACAAGCATTATAGATTTCCCTCCCACCATGACAGAAAGTGGACCCCTGGGAGCTCCCTGGAGTTGTAATAATATGCTGGCCATTCAATCATGGCAGAGGATTACGTCACTGCTTGGTCAGCCACAGAATTAACAGCATAAAGCCTGCAAAAAGTTATCACGCAAGAGAACTGCCGACAAGTAACATCTGGGGGTCACCTTTGACCAAGCTTTGAACAAAAACCCTGAGTCACAAGAGAACATTAACTGCTGGTTTTGTTAATTTGAGGTCTATGTAAACAAAGCCTTCTTGTCTCTATGACATTGTAAAATATATGCAATTATTAGATTTATATGAAACCATATAAATCATCTCCCCAACGTCACTGATGAATAATAGGCTTCTGACAAGAGTGTCTGTTACTCTGTAATGACAGCAGATAGGGAAGCGAGAATCACATCACTTTTTTAATGAACGATTGAAGGTGCAATTAATGACAAGGGAAAGTACTTGAATTGTTAAATTTGTGTTTAAGGTTTGCATCATCATAAGACCTTGGGTCTATGTGTGTTGGGTATAAATAGGACATTTTCAAAGCAGTGATCAAGGCATATGTCATTACAGTATAAACACAGGTGTCATCGATAAAAAAATAATTAGGGTCCCGTTCTATTTAGTGTATCAGTCATGCCAGTGAGCAGCATGCAGGCTTTTTATGTTAAGCTTTTCCACAGAAGTGGTGTAGCTCTATATCAAAATCAATTCCTGTATTAAAATTACATGTAATCATAAAGAAATCAACTGCTAAGACAATTTAACAATATTGACATGTACCTTGTACACTACAGAGACTGTGTGAAGGTAGAAAATACAGTCAAAGCAGATATCCTAGCCTTAGCCAAAACAGCCTGCTGCGTAGCTTTCAAGCTAACGCTAGGTTCAGCAGAGATGCCTTGTTTACAATGATACTGACAGCTAACCTAGCTCACTGACATTCAGGAACCGATTTACTGAATGTCAGGTGTCATCACACTGGTTTAATATCTAACTAAACCTTTACAATGTATTGCTAATATTAATATCCAGCACCAGCTAAATGTATGTCTACATTAAGGTCGGCAGCGTGCCAACTTTTCTACTAACAGTTAAGGCTTGCTAGCTGTCTGTTCTTTGGTGCAGTGTTGTCTTACCCTCCAAACATCCCTCCCAAAAAAGAGCCAGAGGTCTTGCATTTCTTGTCAGCGTCGACCATTAGCTGAATCGCTTCCTTCTCCTTTCCAGAATTGTCCATTTTTGCTTTATGCGTAACACACTTATAGTGAGGCAGAAAAAACCCGCAGAAGATTCCGCTGTGTACAATGAGGATTACAGTCGATGGGTTTATTCAGCGTAGGCGTGCACCTGCCGACGTTAGTGGTTTAGCAGAGCATCGTGGTATCGCGGGAGTTTTAGTGTTTTACGTGACAAACATATATCGGCTTCAAGGGGAAAAAACTACAATTCCCACGGAAGCATGATTCGCCACAATATATTTTACGTTTATTTGTAATAGTAATTAAATTGTCCACACTATCACATAAAGATTAATTTTCCTCTCCGTAAAGATAAAGTACAATATCTTATCGTCTGAAAATACCTTGGTAAACAACATCACCACCGACCAGTGTGCGTTTTTTTTATTTACAGCAGAGGACGCTAAAGCATCACCTAGTGATGGTGAGATGAAGCTTTATGAAGCTTTCCAGCCAATTGGTTCGCAAAAGGGTTCATCTCATGAGGCTTCATCATGGGCTTAATTTGAACACAAACTTGGTCAAAGTGTGTAAAACAGGCATATTTCACAATGTACACGTGTATTGTTTCGCAACGCTCTAATCTCTCAAGTTTCACCGCGGCTGTCAGCTGTGTTTACTTCATTCAAACAAGATGCGCTGGAGAGGGGGCGGGGCGTATCTCCATGTAAATCCTATCGGAATCGGATCGATCAGGCTAAACTAACCTGTAGCTGCTCCGTCCACACTCACAACAACGTCATACAGACATAAATAAAGCAGCGACTGTATTCGCCATGACATAGACAGTTTGTGTTTTGTATATTTAACTTTTGTCCCGTTTCTGAACAGATATGAGGAGCTGTGAGCTCTGAGTGTGTGCTAACAACACACAGTACACCTACCAGTAATTGGAAACTATCAATTATCAATGTTTTTTAATACACCTGGGCTTTCCTTGCTGTAACATGCAATACAAATATGTATCGCTGTATAAACCATGAATGGTCTCCAATAGTGTGTAGAAACCTGTAACCATAACCAAAGAGGTCTACTTGTAATTGTAATTAATAGTGGTCAAACTGCAGGTTATCTGCAAGTTTGAAGATCGTAACCTATACACACTCTCTGTTCTAACAGATGCTTTTTTACATCTTCTACGTGTTAAGCATCTATCTAGTTATCTTTTTTTATTCATTTGTTTCTTCTTAAACCCTGCAACTGCCAAAGGGTGTGTGCCTTTATTCATTGTGAGCACACAAAAGGCCAGGCTGATGCAAAGGGCAGGAGTGGTCAGTTTCAAATCAGTTGGAAGGTTAGTGCTGATGACTACTAACAATCATCCCCTTTAGATAAGAAAGAAAACCCATCAGTGGTGCCATATACTACTGCGTGTGCACCAGGGACGTGCACAGACATTTGGAGGGGCTATTGCTCTTAACTGGAAAAAGGGCCTCCCCCGAAAAAAAACAATACAGTTTGAAAATTGTAACTTTTTTTTAATGTAAAAGAAACCAAACGATTATTACTTCAACTAAATTGAACAGTATTCACATCTCATTAACCAGGGAAATGTTTTGTTTTGCGGTCCATATCTCATCAAAAATATCTAATGTTAGTAACTATTAAAGATAAAATTGGGACAATTATGTTCTAATGTAGTTTGACCAGACCATTGTAACTGCTGTGCAGTCCAGACATACTGATAAAATAGGGCTTCCGGCTTCTACCTAATTACCTTAAATAAACTCACTAATTAATGAAACCAGTTCAATAGGCATTATTCTTATCATTCTTTATGAGCGCAGCCAGTAACGGTAAGGTATCTAATTACTTATTTATTTAGTATTCCATAACTTAGTAACAGAGATGGTCAAACTAAAGTGGTAGAGACATGGCAGAAATCCTATAATGAAGCGGGACAGTGGACTGTTCACCCGTGAGAGGGCGATCAAGAAAAGAGCGAGCGGCCCCCTTGAGGGAGTTTACAGATGAAAAGGCACAGAAAGACAGAAGCACAATAACAATAAGTAGGCTATATTTAGGTGTTTTTTTTGTAAATAACCGACGGTATCAAGAGGAAGTAAAGTCCCCTGGTTTGTCCCTTATACCCTAACTGCCATGAGACAACTCAAAATCAAGTTTCCAAAATCCGACACTGAGGTGGTCTTAACGCACCGGTAGATGACAGCGCTGACAAAGTGTGTTTCCCGCAGCGAGACGCTACAATACTAATTGTGGGCTTAACATGTTGATTCGGCCACAACAGAAAAAAGAAAAAAAAACACTCGCTCTCTCCAGGAGGGGCAGGTCAGCCAAAAAGGCCAAACGGGCCGTTGCCCGGGCAACATTAGCCCGCACCTGTGCACGCGTCCCTGGTGTGCACGCGTTCTCTTAACAATCCATTAACTCATGGATAAGCACGCATGGGGTGAAGGCTACTTCTTTGGGCTGATTTATAGAACTACAAGGAAAAGCGTATTTATTCCTAGTCTTACAACTCACGTAAGATGGGCCATGCATGTCAACAAACATATTTGTTTAAAACAAAGTGGTTACGGGTTAAAAATTGCATAAAGATAATTTCAATAGTGTGAGGCTAAGATTAACAAACTACAATTGGAAAAATCAGGCGGTAAATCTTTTAATACATCCAAAGTTTGCCTCTCCTTTTATACTTTTTTTGTGAGATTGGTGTGAGAACTCGGTTCCCAAGTTGGTGAGCTGTGCCACAAATACCTCTTCACACACAAGAAAGTTGGTTTCAGGGCCGGTTCGGAGCTGGAGCTTGAAAAGCACCGGGTTGTCCTCTTCAAACCGCAGCGGAAGCAGCCTCTTAGCTCCGGAATCCCGGTTCATTTCAAGCACCAAAAAATTGTCCGGCCACAGAGCAAAAGCACCCACTACCGTCACGCTTACGTCGATCGAGCGGGGGGCAGGGGCAGGGGCGGGATCAACTCCTGAACAAACAACAAAAAAGCCGGCGTTTTATCCAGTTTGGTACACAACGAATGGAGACACTTAACAAGCAGCAGTGGTCCACTGAAGAGACCACTGCTGGGAATCTGTTCTTCCGAAGAGGTACTCAGAGGAAGCTGGAGCACATCGGCCATTGTTGTTGTTGTCCGTTAAGCCGTGTCAGCCTGTGAGGGGTTTTCGCGCGGTTTGGCTTTATGAAGCAGGCACGCAAAACGGTTACGTCATGACGCAAACGATGACGCCAATGACGCAGCACCAGTCGGGACTCTGGGCAGTGTGAAAAGAGCCGGAGCTAACGGAGAAAAAACCGGTTCTTGAACCTGAAAAGGCTCTAGGACGGAGCTTGAACCGGGAGTTGCGTTTGGTGTGAAATGAGGTAAAAGTGAGGTGTGTTTTGTTGTAAGCAATTAGAAAGGAATGGCTACCATATTTTTTAAATGAGGAATATAATAGCAGGCAATACTCATTTTAAAGGGGACCTTCCAGCAGGCTTCTACTGAAGCCTTCCGAGTAAATCGCCAGAAGCCGTCGACACCTGCCTCATCACTCCACCCTCCCCATGTTTTCTTTTGTGGTTGCCATAAGTTAGTCTCTCTCCGCTGGTGCGCTGGGCTAATGCTAATGCTAATAATGCGAGCAAATTAAATGGGGCTTCACAAACACTTTTCAGTTTTAACGGGCTGTGGTTTGCCAATTCGCCCAGCAAATCAGAAAATTGAACCTTTCCTCCCAGGAAAAGTACCACCTCTCTTAGCAGGGAACTGAAATTCGAAACATTTTCACTTGAATTTTTGGGATCTGAATTTGACCATTCATTTTTTTTTACTTGAATTGTTACATTTTTTATTTCACATAGGTAAATTCGGAGCAAAAAAATTCAGATAGGCCTAGATGATTTTCAAAGTAATTATTTTCCAATGCTATAAATTTCGGTGTCTGATAAAATTCAAATAGCCTACTTCTATCTTCTCTTTTGCTTCCTATTACCGTCTCAAATTATCTATACAAAAATCTTTGTTATTTATTGATTTGAAATAAAATGGACATTCACAGTTAATGTAATTAGGATATAAATTATTGAATGCCATACCATATCTGCATACAGTCACTTCGAGTGCTCACATTCTGTGGTGCTTTTGATATTTTCGTTTACGGCTCTAACAGAGCGCTGCAAATTCCAAGTCCTAAAACTTTATTCAAAGATGGAAGCCTAATGCTGTTCTGTTTCGCTTGATGCATATAGCCATTACGTTAAAAGTGTTATGTATGTATTGTATCTTCCCAATGCAGTGTTAGCTACATGAGGTCCTATTTGTTCTTATTGATTACTATCATGAAGTGCAGATGACATAGCGGTACTACAGAGTAGCCGCTTCACACGCGGGAGGACTTGCCGTACTTTATGTGCCCGGCACTAAAGAATACCACGGCACTGTAATCCGCCATGGGGCTAGTGCCAATCAGCATTGCACAGCGCTTAGTACTTTCTCTGAGCAAGATATACGCTGACGTCACTTTCGTCTTTCTCTTCTCTGGGTTACTCGGCAGGCCGCAAAACCACTCACGGCGAGTACAAAAAAGAATAGAGAGAAGAAGAGACTACATCGGGAGGTTGGGGGTAAAGCCACCCGCTGTACATGATATAGTAT